CCAAATCGAGTCTCGAGTCACTGGCCCAAAGGTCCAAGACTATTCCAAGTTGTCTGCTTTGAGCTTCAAGTCATTTCAAGTATTTAAACCAAAGTACCAAATACAGCTTAGATTTTTGCAATTTACATTAATTTTAAACTAAATTGAACTTAAAAATTCATAGAATATTTATGTAAGAGTATTTATGAGTGGTATAAATGTTAATTTTTCATTTTTAAATGTCTTGACAAAATCTTGTGTGAATCATTACAGTCAGAATATAAAGAATTCAGATTTAAAAGTGCTTCTCAAGTCTTCTCAAGTCACAGGCCTCAAGTCCGAGTCAAGTCCCAAGTCAAGTCCATTTTATCAAGTCAAGTCTCAAGTCCTAAAAATAGTGACTCAAGTCTGACTCGAGTCCATGTCACGACTTGCAAATCCCCACCTCTGATAAGAAGTGCCCCACAAGCAACCAAAAATGCTGTGTTTATGGTCTCAGTAGGAAAACTTGTTGTCACTAGATTTGACAAACTTTATTTATCCTCTAGGGAAATTATTTAGACGCAGTAGCTCACTCATTCTCGTGCCATCAGAAGTAGGCACTAGGGACACATCTCCAGATAAGTAAGGCTTGGTCAAGAATATTCTTAGCTGAAGGATTTTGACCTATTGTTTTACTCGTTGATAGGAAGAACCCACCCAAGGAGAGATGCATGCAAACTCTGCATAGAAAAAACATATTCAGACTTTAAAACTAGTGACATACAAGATCCACATTCACATGACTTTTGCACTGTAAATAAATAACACTAGAATCAGCTCAGTTGTCCAAAGTGTTAAGTACAAGTGCCTAGAAAGGACAAATTCATCTGAAGTAAGCACCACTTGTGGCTCTTGATAATTTCCACTGTAAAAAGGCTATAAGTAAGAGGAGAAGATCAGAGGGATTGAGTACGCCACTAATACTACTGTTAATTGCAGGTGAGACTAACAAAATATCAGGATTACTGAGCGTGGCCTCTCAGGTTGCATCTGGGTGAATTTACGAGTCATGTCAAGTGGGTTAACTGTAACATAAGTCCCATTTCAGTGTTGTTTGCCATTTCAATAAAAAACAAAAGTTAAAAGCAGCAGAAAACACACACCTATTTAATGAACAAACATCTAGAAACAGACAATAAAACAAAAAAACATAAAGGCAGTTAAGTTAAAATTGTTTAAAACCAAATTTAATTAGACAGCAAAAGTCAAAATACATGTGTAACTCTTGTTCTATAATGTACAATTAGGTTACAAGTTTAACAAGAGAACAATAAATGAATACAGGTGCATAGTATACTTGTGTTAAACAAATAAAGTTGAATTTTATAATTATATTTTTTATAAATCTATAATTATAAAAGGGTGTGTGGTTAGGCATAGATAAGCACAATCACATTTGTCATGGTTACACTTCTTCATACCCCTTTAATCTTCTTAAGAGATCAGTAAAACTAGTAAGGCACTAAGCAAACACAAGCATAGAAACTAATGTAACATAAAGGACCCATATTTTATTTCTAAATATTAGATGTGCAATCAGGAAGCTCCTTGTATTCAACATAGAGAAAGTAAAAAAGGATTCTGTTCAAATTGATATAAATATTTTCTGTGTATAAACTCAGTGTGGTGTGTGTGCAGAGAGTTTAGTACCGATCAGAAACATGGAGCAGCAATCGCCGCTCTAGTGTTCTATAGATGCCACTGTGTTGTATATACTACAGCCATTGTTCTTTGTTGGTTTTCCCAGGTCCACCCTTCATTCACTTCCTGTGCATGAGCCTAGATAAGCATTCTTTTACAAGCTCACAAACCCTTGATGTGGGTTAATCTTTTAGGCCCTGCACGAGCACATAGCTTATAACTACAGTTTTAACAGCTCAAAGAATAGCCCCTGAGGTCCATACTCTATATCGCACTAATTTGAACTAGTGTAAGGCACAACTTAAAACAATCCTAAATGGTTAGTACAGCACCAGTAAGTATTTCACGGGACCCTTGAGTGGGTGTGGTGCTATCCCAGAAGCACCCTCTGCAGCCGGTCTGCTGGGACACTGGACTCATCCTCGGACTCTGCGTCACTCTGAGGGTTGGAGCTGCAGGGGGATGTGCATTCAGGGGAGCACAGGTAGTGCATGAGTGGCAGCCGATACTTCCCACAGAAGTCCACAAATTTGATATGCCGCACACACGAGTCAAAATACACACCTGGAAAATTTAATCATTGAATCAGTTTGAGTGACAACACCACCAGAGAAAGACATGCTGTTTTACCTTCCTACAACCATTACTTACCAGCACATTTTGGGTTAGGGCACTTGCTGGCCAAATCCAGATAGCGCAGCAAATTGTCTGGCAGTTCATGTGGCAAATATGGTATATTTCTGCTCTTGATGGTACGTCCTGCCAACTCCAACAGTGAAGGTGGGTCATATATCATTTCTTTGACAAAGCGCACTACCAGGGGGTTTCCGCGGAGGCTGAGCTCCTGCAGGTGGACCAAGCTGAGTATCTCTCGTGGCAGGTATGTGAGCAAATTGTTGTGTAGACTCAGAGATCGCAGAGAGTTCAGCCTAAAAGTGAAATGATTTAGCTTTTGCAGTCACATTAGAGCTGATAAAAATATATACAGCGTAGTTAGTAGGCATTACCTGGTGAGCTGTGGGGGTACACTTTGAATGCGGTTATCACAGAGAACCAAGTATGTAAGGAAAGGCAGATTAGCCACTTCAGGAGGAATGGCATTGATGAGGTTACCTCCCAGATACAGCAGCTCTAGACTGGGGGGAAAAAAGGTTCAAATATTACACTTGAAATGCTTTCAGCTTACTACATGCAGTACAACTTTGAACCACAGGAGGGAGATAGAGATGCACAGGAGCAGTGAACGTGCTGTGTGCAATAGTATTACTCAAACAACATACATAAAATCACACACACCAAAAATGTAATGCCTATTTTCTAGTTTGAGTACTTGTTTCAGATATAAAAGTAACATTACCCACAAAGTGTCCATAAGACTAAATTGACTTTTCAGAAAATGCTGAGCTAGCACTTTAGGGCCTGCCACTGGAAAAGTAAAATGATCTGAAAGCTTGTACAGCAGTATGGTTGGTCAAAGCTTAAGAGAGATGTCAGTATCCACTGCAGGAACTGATGACACAGCGACAGTGAGACACGGGCCATTATACTGTCCTTGGTGTTTGAGCTGCAGAGGCACGTGACATGAGACGAGACAGTGAGCGGCTGCACTCTAACTGGACAAGACTCGCTCACACATAAGTTTGTGCAGTAAGGGAACCAAATAAAGGACTAGGACCTTGTGTCAAACTGCTGTGTTGTAAAGAATATTAGCATTTTAACTGAATAGTTGTGCTCAAAAAAGTGCAGATTTCAATTATTATCTTGGGGCTGATCTATGGGCCAGTCCTGTAGTAGTAAAAACATGTGGATTGGATAAAAGTGACAGTAACACACTATTTATTAAATTAAACTAGGGCTTTACAAATATGTACAAGTATTTTCCAGGTAAGCCTCTGATTCAAAAATGCATTATATTAGTATACTGAGTCCAGAGAACTGTAGAATTGTATATGTTCAAAATCCCTGTGGAAGGGAAAGGGCCAGAAGGACGCACAAATGTTCACTTTTCACCAGAGAAAACACATAACTGTTAACCAAAATTACATCAACAGACTCACTCATATTCTTGTACTTCTGTTGTGCAAATACATCTTGTTATTAAATTAAATCACAAAACTATCAACACATTTGATTTTGAAAAGTGAATATTGATTCATGTGAGGTTCACTTGTTCGTTTTTGGCTTTCTTTTGTGCAAAAAGTAGGTCCAGGTCTGGTCCAGCCAGGTCTAGTCCAGGTCACTATGGACTGCTATTTTAAATCATAAAAAGATAACACAGGGGTGCTATTGATTCCTGCTGGCGGAGACTAGGTGACCTAGAAAGACATTTTCAGTGCATCCTTAAATGAGGCCACCGTAGTTCAGGTAAATATACTCAAGTTAATCTGTGCACCACATCACACATTTAATCATGTTGTTGTACAGAGTAAGGTTAATCATTTAAACTTTAGCGCCACTCATAACATGGAAACTATGCTAACTATCTCCAGGTACAGTGAACTCGGTGAACAGTAGCCTACATATGATTAGTGTAAGGTTGGCAGAATGTTAAGTAATTTAAGTCGTTTACTTACCGTACAATCTTCACTTTAAGTGATAAGATAGCTACAAATGGCCTTGTGATCTAATGAAAGTTTGGCTAGCTTGTAGCAACTCAACTCAACCTGACTACTACTGCAGTACTGAACTTTATATTTATATTTAACAGTATTGAGTTGTGATCCTGTATTTCCATACCTTGCTAGGTTTTCTATCTCAGGGGGAATACTTTTGAGTCTGTTTCCACCGAGTGAAAGCGACTGCAGACGCAGCATTTGAGTGCACTGAATAGGGATCTCCTCAAATCTGTTACCACTGAAGTTCAGCACCTCCAGAGGCAAAGAGCCAAACTCTTTGGGCAGTGAATACTCGTTCAGTCGGTTGTTCTTGGCTAGTAGAGTTCTTAGCTTGGTTAGCCGTGTGATGCCCTCACAGAGGCTCGTCAGTCCGTTGTTGCTAATGTCCAAAAACTCGAGGTTGCTAAAAAGGTAAATAGAGGAGGGCAGCGAGACCAACCGATTATTGTTCAGATACATTTGCTTTGTGTCGTTTTTTCTCTCCTCGCTAACAGTGTCAACATTCAAAGTGCTAAGATTCAAGCGTGAGAAATCCAGGACTCCGTCGCCTGTTGCTGCGGCCCCTTCGTGAAACTCCATTTTTTTTTATCGATGGCGATTTCTTGTGCCCCGCTGTCAAAGTCCCGCCGCTCGTCGTCCCCGTTACAGAAGAGTTGGATCCAGGAGTTGTTGCCTCTCTATAAAATGAAGAACGAAGTGGGACAAAGGCGTTTCTATTTTAACGGGGCCCTCTGTTACCCACATCGCTCCAGAAAAAAAAAATCTAGGTCAGTATAAGAGGCATCGAGGGCGAACTTATGCGCCGCATGCATTTACCACAGAACCACTACAACCAGGCTTTCTTGGGGGAACAGTCCGCGCGCTGTGATTGGTCCACTCTTGGCGTAAACCCCGCCTTCTGACTGACTATTGGCTGATCTGACCGTCCGTTTCACTCTTTCTTTACAAACTTCAAGTAGGTGGATTATTAAATCTTTTTTACAACTGTTCATCATTATCATTCACTATCATTGTCTATCTATTAAATCCAAGAACGCTTTATAACTTTTATCAAAATTGTTGAAACGTGACACGCACGAAACTGTCCATGTTCACTTGTAAGAGATTATGCAACAGCTCTCATCGGTTACATTATGCAAGACAAGTCTGAGGGGGCATGATCTGAATGAGAAACAGGTGAATACAAAAAGGAAATGGCAATCGTTTGTAAAAATGTGTAGGCCTATATGAAGTCGCTTTTCCTAATACACCGAACATAGGCAATTAGTTATTTTTTACAATCCAAATAAATACTACAGTAGCCACTAACAAGAAGGCAAAATTTCACAGGAGCCTTAACACTCTAATGTCAAGCAGAAAACACTGAATAAAAGTTGAGTACTGGGTTTATTGTCATACATACAGTATATTGTCCATACAGTCTCAGCACTTTTAGTGGAATAAAAATATTAAGCCTGAATATACTATAGAAATGCATTATCAGATATAAAGATTAAGTAAATCAAATTACAAAACGTCTGCACATTTAACCATTTGGCTTTGTGCAGGCAATGATAGACTTGAGCCATGCTCTTTGCAGGTCTAAGGCACTGGTATAACACACTAGCAAACCCAATTACTCTCAACATCCACCATGCACACTGAACATGCATCCAGTTACTGGAGCACTACTGAGCAGATACGGAGGCTCTTTCTGTTAGTGATGAAACAACAGGTATAGTGTAGTTGCTGGGTCCAGAGTATAATACTACTCCGACGATTCTTCAAACTCTTCATACAGACTTTGGTGTTAGTTACAGTCCCACATAAATGCCTGAGGGATAACACAGACATGATCGAGGAAGTAACGTTTAAATTAAGAGCACCAGTGAGATGAATATTATGAACACAAACCATGAACAGGGTGAAGCCAATAATATACTGTGTCAGCAAACATTACATAAACAGACAAACACAATTTAAGGATGTGTGATAAAATACATGAAAGAAAGCAAAAGAAAAGTAGGAAGTGCATTTGTCAAGTAATGACGTACTGTGACACTTGTATGGCCTCACTACGACTCTGCCTTCTGCGGTGGCTCCATAAAGTAACCTGCCAGTGCAGGAACCCCCCATCTCTTCCTGCTCAAACAGTGACGTCCATATTCACAAACAGTGACAACTTGACCTTTCACTTGTAAATGTAAAAAAAAAAAAAAAATACCTGTAAAAAGCCCTTACAACAGGGACACAGTACAACAATCAAATGCAGAGTGACAGTACTGAACACAACATAAAAACATTCCACATAAATGTATTGTATTTAACATAGCAGTCAACAATGCATGGCCCCAAAGTCAGTCAAGTATGTAAAGGGGTGATACTGGGCGCCCTCTTCTCCACAGTCTCCTTATTTAGGCCTCCTTTGTGCTGGACTTCATCTTTTCCATTGTTTCCTGTAAGGAAACATAGTTTAATGTGAAGAGAATTGAACATACCAGCAGAATCCTTTAGAATAAAGCTGATATAAAGCAGAATTGTTTTAACAGAAACCTGATGCTTGTTGAGTTCAGCGACACGGAGGTTCCATTCTTCCTCGGTCATCTCTGCACCAGTATCTGAGGTGTCAGCCATTGCTGCTGTTTTGTCTAGAAAAACAATAGAAATACACAGGTTTTATAAGTTGACTGACAACAAGGATAGTTTAAGATGATAAAGTAGTAACTAGCAGTTACCAGTGCATGTCATGGCTGTGCAGACCCAGTTTCCACATGCACAAACGCAGCGGTTGCACTCCACCTGAGTCTCTGCTCCGTCCTCATACGTCTCGTCCTCCAGAGCACACTCTACACAGGACAAATGGTGACGAAGAATGACTCAGCAGTTTTAAATCAGCTGTACAAGGAACTATTAAGCACACGTAATGGTGACTGTATGAGATATTCATTCACTTATTCTAATAATCACTTGCCCATCACATGGCTTGGTCCAACCATATTAATGACATACATATGTCTGTATATTTCAGTCTAAATGGAAAGAGCTTCATGGACACGGCAGCTCTGCAGTTGATGTTAGTTTTGGCTACGTCCAGAATTCCTCTGTTCATCTGAACTTTAGTCCACTTTTATCCAACTCAGAAAATCATTGGGGTAGGCCTGTTTTGCATAACTTTTTCTTTACTTTTTAACAGAGTACCAAGTACTTTTAGTAGTTTCTAGAATCTAGAAATAAATATACACCTATGAAATACATGTGTTTGAATGAAGTCATAGCATAGAATATAAAAAGGCAGATGTTTCTTTTTAAACTCACTTTTTTCTGGTGGGTTAAATCCAGGCTTCAGGCAGTTGAGGAACTCATCAAAGCTGAGTTTCCAGTCAGCATTTTCATCAGAGAGCTCAATGAGGGCATCCACACACAGGCTCCTGGAAGTGCATACAAAGGCTATAAGGAGAAAATCAAACTTGTTGAATGACTTTCGGATAACTGGACCATTCCTGACCTCAGCAGCTTGTTGCTCTCCTGGTCGGCGTATGACTGCATCTCCACCACAGACTCATTGTGCTGGATGAATTTGAGCAGCTCAGAGGAATCCATCTGGGCATCACCATTATCATAGGACTGTGCAGAGAAACACATGACAAAAACATAATGTTATTTGAGCTCATGCAACATCCCTGTTTGTTACTTCTACGAGGGGGTATTATGCAAAATCAACTAAATCAAATGTTTGGAGCTTTCTATCATGATATAATGTTCTCTTATCAAAAACATGCCTGTAGAGGTTTTATATGTCCTCCATGCATGTTTGAGTAAAGAGCTCTCCTGGGGCTTATTTGATCCCTTTTTACAGTTACCTCTAAGATTTGTCTAATGCTCCCACATAATAATTCTCCATAAGCGTGATACAAAACAATACACAACAGCTTTACAAACCTGATGTCATGAGGAGTAATAGCAGAATGCACACCAAATTGTAATGTGATAGTGCTGTGAAGGTGGAGTAACTTTTGAGTCAGCATGTTAATGTTGTTTTTGGCAAATTTAGCATTTTCTAAATAATGAATTAATAAAAATGGTGATCTAAATGTTATGTGTTAGCAATAGATGTCTAGTACCCTTTCTTGTACAGTATGTGAGGTCAGTGAAGTACAGTGTGATGTTGGGTCTCTGGGGGCTAGGGTGTGTGCCCACCTTGAAGTATTTGAGCAGGATGTCAGAAAAGTTGGAGCCTTTGACAAACCATCCATCTGGAACAACCTCAGTCTGAAGCCACTGGATGATCCGACCTCTCAGTTCATTGCGGTCAGCAGCAAAGCACACCACTGTGAGAGTAAGAGATATATGTTTATATATGTATATATTTATATGTATTACTTATTTAATTAATACTTTATATATATATATATATATATATATATACTTTATATACTTTATATATTGATATTACAGTATATTAATATTGGTGTCCATAAAGTGCCTTTTATGACCACTGTGACCTTTTAGAGAAGGTCAAAGTTTACAGAACACATAGGCACATTATATTATTATATTACATTATAAAAGTGCATCAGGTTCGAACAGAGCACACAGACCTGGACTTGCAGCTGCCTTGTCTGTCTTCTTCTCTGCGGGCAGAAAAACACCAACAGATAAATGTAAAATAAAATGTTTAATATTTTGTGCTGTTCACATTGGAACAGCCACGAGAGAAGCCTCATTGACCTAATGTCATTGCTAGTTTACTTTAGATAAGATTTAGGTGTATAAAATGATAAACCAAAAACAATGCCAAATTGATCCAGTGACATAGATAGCTGTAAAACAATAAATGTTTGAACCCGTTTACCCAATATCAGGTCATCGACTATAAGCATGATCAGAGATCACACACTAAATATCTTATCAGCCCGCTAGGAAACTGCCACTTTACGTGGAATTAGTGACATCTATTATGTCTTCAAAGAGCAAAATCCACAAGACTAGAGGGTATTCTTATACTTATGCTGTTCTATGGCCATAGAACAAAATAATTTGCCCAGTGCAGTTTTGCAGAGACAAATAGTTATTTGGTATAATGTGAGCTCATACCCTGGCAGTGTCCATCATAGGCCACTTGGATCTTCAGACCAGTGAGACAGGCGTCTCTGTGCAGCTCGCAGTGGTTCCTGTAGGTCTTCCCATTACTGCCACACACTGACCTCTTGTGGGGCTTGCAGCTCTAACATAGTAAACACACAAATGTCATACTACATGAAATCGGCCACATATTTCAGGCCACATTCCACTAAAGCCTGTTCAGTCTTACCTCGATGCACAGGCAGCTGGGCTCCCCCTTCTCATTCACAGCACACTCCCTGCCGGCTCCACAGAAAACATTAGCGCACACTTTGCTCTTACTCTGCAGCTCCTGTGCAAAAAGACAAAACACAGTTCTGGGGTTGGACATGGACTTGGTTCTGTCAAATACATTTGGTTTTATTGATGTTCCATTTCAGCACCTCTAGATGGTGCTACACCACTTCTTCAACAACAGAGATCTCACCAGACCTAGTTTATTTCAGAAAGATTCCTCACTTTGCAAAAATATTTATAAATCTAAATTACTTTTAGCTATGTTGCAGTCACTGTTTAAATAGGTTTACATTTGCTCCACTTAAAACTATTTAAATGTAATTACATTTATTACAAAATATATATTACCCAGTACATGCTTTCAGGAAGCTTATTCTTACTGAACACACAAAGATTTTTACTGAGCTGGAGGAAATGTCTGGTATAAAATACTAGAAGCAGACATGTGAACACAGCTGTCCTCTTCAGTACAGCATTCTCTTTGTGTGAACACAAATGCCATGTTTGGACAAACACTGAGCAGCCGGAGACAAACTCTGGAATTTTACTATCAGGCGGAAACACAAACGAATATTGACCCAAAACACAACAACAATGTATAAGCACATTTGTTTTAGAGGTCATATAGACACACAAATAGGACTTTAAAAGATTAACCCCAATGAAAGATAAGATAAGATAAGATAAGATATAAGATGCCTTTATTAGTCCCACAGTGGGGAAATTCCAGTGTTGCAACGCACAATTTCAGAACAGCAGGAAAAGGTAACACATATAATAAATAATAGCTTAAAATAATTTAAAAATAGACTTAAAAATAATTGCACATGGTTATGATTGACTGGTACATGTTCAGTGTTAGCAGTGTTTGTTGTAAAGTCTGACAGCAGCAGGAAGGAAAGACCTGCGAAACCTCTCCTTCACACAGCGAGGGTGAATCAGTCTGAAAGGTGTGTGAGACTGTGGTAATGCAGAATAATGAGGAGTAGTTAATTACTCAAAGAGTTTTCACCAAATGAGTTTTCGCCAGAAGAGTTTTGTTGAACTCCCAAACCAATCAGAAGACGCCATGCGGAGCCAGCTCTCTGGCCATTCTTACCTCCTCCCCTGTGTGTGTGCAGGGTGTTCCCACATCTGGGGTGTGAGTGAGCCATGTTTTCCTTTGGGCCCATTCCCATGCTTAGTGAAATCTTTTCTCTCTTCTCCCTCCCTCCTTAAGCTGCCATTTCCTGAGAGAGCCAGACAGAGGCTGGCCCTGGCTCTGAGAGCACGTGAGCAGGCCCCAGAGCAGGAATCGGGTTTAAATCAAAAGGAATTCTTGCGACTAGAGCTCAGCTCACTAATGAAAACAGCACAGTCGTTTGCAAAACTAGGGCAGATGTTTTTGACCCAGGGCAAATGAGAGAAACATAGAGAAAAGATTCATTTCCATACATGATTTAAGACTGGACTTGTACTCCAAAGCTGTGGTCATGCAATAGCTTCAAAGTGGTGCGTGTGGCCTTGAGCAGGCGGGAAACATGGTGAGTTAAATTGTCGAAACCGGTGCAAACCTGTGATGGGGACATGAATAATGGATAGGAGTTTCACCTTATTGCTATGTCTGTCCAGAGCTTCAAAAAGAATCAGCATCGCTGACATTTGGTTAATGTAAAAAACAGGCACTGTTGCTATGGTGAGCACATGTTCCAGCTCATGTTGTGGCAGATCACATCCATGTCAATCAAAAAGAGGCAGGAGGCCTGATATGATGATCACAGTGGAGGATGTGTTGTGTCTGTAACACACTAATGTGCTTAATAAAGCTAAGATATCTGAACTGAGCCAACGAACAATCTCAGAGCAATACTCAAAATTAATCTTGTCTGGTTTATGGAAGCTACTTTTGGATTGTTACAAGGACCTTTTCATTATATTACAAGTTGGCATCTCTGATAATATTTTGCCATGCCATAATAGACAATTTAGCAAATTATTCCTTATGTGCATATGCTGAGACCTAACCTACAGAAAAAGTCAGAGTCAGCATAAACAAAAACAGCTGATCCTGTGGGTGCCCTACTTTAATTACATCACATTTTCATCAGAGCCAATAAATCCAGCCTTATTTTTCAGCACTGCCATTTAAAACCAATCACAAAAGCTGAAGCCATGATAAGTGGAAGATGATTCAGATGAACAGTTCCAGTCAAATTCATTATGAAAACAGCTGCCACCAGCATATTTCAGCTTGTATACAAACATATTTTAATCAAATTTATCATCAGTCGTGGGGAATTTAAGTATTTTGAGCTTTTAATAAGATTAACAGATTCCAGAGATATGTCTTTCCTCTACATCGTCTTCTATCAGAGTATATCAGATGACTTTCAAATCTCTACTTTAGTTTCTCATCAGCTGTAAATCATGTTCTGTCATCAGATCCCCAGTGCCCTGGCCTGCCCACCAGTGCACTGAAATTGTACTCTATGTGGAGCGTGTGGAGTGTGACATAACAAAAAAAAAAAAAAACACAAATATAAAACTTAATTGTATTATTTTCTGTTATGTTTTACTTATAGCAGTAGAGGTGAAGGACAAACTAACTGACTTGTAATCAAAATATGGTACACTGCTCAGGTATTGATATTAACAGAGAGTAAAACGACAAATATTTTTTGTTTTTCTTTGGGCTACTTCTTGTTTATAACTTCTATATTTTATATTAACTTCATACAAGTAGTGGTTTATCAAAGAAATACTGTTTTGTGTTTTGGTTCAATATGTGTGTAGTGCATGTGCAAAATATCTATTATAGCATACGTGAGCCGTGTATCAGGAATCACATCAAATCATGAGGGACCCCGTGATTCCTAGCCCTATTCCAAATATTAATCTTATAATTACTACACTATCTGATCTGTGTGTGTTGGATAAATCGGATGACAGAGCCAAGTCAAACGTGTAATTGAAGATATTCACACTGTACCCAGTCATAGTGCATCTCCATTGACCTGTAGCAGCCTGATCAATGCTCTGGACACCCCGAGCAGAGCTAATCCCACCATGCTCCAGCCTGCATTAGCATAAGAAACATTGATCTGGAGTAGAGGGCCCTATGGAGCAAACAGATATTGGATGTGGATCTGTATGTGCAAACCAAAATGTTATGGATTTTATTTAAGCTGGGTGATTTCTGTTTTACTGGGGTTTAAATAGATTTGCCCTCCAGTTTAGAACATAGCATTGGCAGGGCTTTAAGATGGCCTCATCAGCAGTATATGTAAGTGAACTGAGCTGTGTCACATTTAAAGGTGAAGAATGGTCCAGTGCGCCCGTGACAATGAAATGTGATCACTGAGGAGCTTCATAAATTTGGTTATTATGGGATGGACGTGGGCTGCATTTCACTAAAGGGGCCCTAGTAAAATGGTGGCACAATGTCGAGAGGAAAAACATGTAGTGCTTTGTCTGTTACGAGCATGTCAGCGGTGTGTTTCCATTAATAATACATTGTGGTATTTTGCAGCTTTAATTATTAAAACAAGACATTTAGGTCTAGTAAAGAAGACAGACAGATGGATTACTAGCTGGATTTAGTCCATGATGTTTAATAAAAAGAAAATACATGTTTATGAATGAGCTTAATCTTATCTGAATAAATGTTCTGCCTGTAATAACTTACTAGAGCACAGTACTCTTAGGGGGAAAAAATTCAGGTTTACACTCACATTTTACTGATCAGAAATATGTACTTTATGATTTAGACATGATTTAGTCTTCATATACATGATAGTGTCTTGTAAAAATCTGGTTTGGATATGATGATGATACTAAGAAATATGCAGCTGCTCCATGTTGCATTCATATATTTTTAAAAAAAGAAAAGAAAACTAACTGGTGTTTTACTTCTTTTCTACTTCTTCTTTTCTTTTCTTTTCTTTTCAGTAATCCTGCATGTATTCTCTAACAATATATGACAGTACAACAGAAATGTAGTCCCCTTACAGCAGTGGTTCTCAAAATATGGTACACTGCCTGTGGTTTTGATATTAATAGTGAGTAACACAACAGATGTATTTAATTGCTGTTAATTCTTGTTTATAACCTCTTTATTTGGTAATAGACTTGGTTCAGCCCTGATTATGTTTCATAGATTTGATAGTGTCTTGTAAAAAGTTTGGATCTGATGACACTAAGAAAATGGACAAACTATATAATAATACATTTACTGTAACTTAGTGTACAGCCACATCTCTTGTAAACTGTAAAAAACATTGTAAAAGTAAAAGGAATGTGAAGAATGTGCATAGTTCTAGTCAGGGGAACATTCCACAGCTGTATCCAGCCGAATTCGGGGTCCACACAGTTCATCTTGAGCCCAAACTCTCGTATTTAGGTCAGAGGAGGTGTCCCTGTTTTCTTGTACTCCGCCTGCTTCTCCTCCTGTATCCTCAAAGTTCACAGATGGCCCTCTCCGCACAGACCCGTGTCCAACCAGGCCTAACCCACAGAGACAGGAGCTCAGCCTACTGCACACTTCCTCTCACTTAACTGGAACTATGAACTACTTTTCTCGTTTCAGGAATTTGCCGATTCTCTAAGCTTGCTGTAAAACCCACCACACAAGGGAGAAAGATCACAGAGAATGGCCTTCCCCTCTCCGCTGTAGCATTTCCCTCAATAATTCATACATGTACATTCTCTAATCTCGAGGCAGTTCTTCCTTTGAATTGATCTCATCCAAAGAAAACTGGCTTCGTTTCTGCTTAAGTGAGCTCGGCACAGGAGAACAGATGTACAGTGAAGCAGGATCTATACTGAGAAACCGCGTCATGATTTTTTATAGATTTCTGCAGCAAAGCCCTGACAGTGGAACAGCCAGGATGTGTCCTTGTGATAATGAGGCCAGACAAAGCTAAACAGAGTCCGACGGAAATATGTGTTGTTTATTAAAGGGTCTTTATTACACTGTGTTCTGATCTATGTTATAAAGTTGTTTCCTCATCAAAAACATGCCTGGAGTTTAAAGGGACAGTCCAGAATTTAGGACATAGGACCTCATTTTCTAGTTAG